TTTTTTTTTTTTTTACCAGGAACGGACCCAAATGTTGTTGAAGTCAATATGAAATTAAATGATCTCATGATCTTTTAGCCAAATATAGGCCTTGCATCAAAAAGCCAAAAAGATGGGGAACAATAATATTAAACATTAATTTAAAAGTTCAACAAAAACCAATAAAATCCCGTTAGATGCAACATGCAGTCAAATCCCGCCTTGCATTATTTTTCACAATATTTTTTCTCTTAAATTCCTCATCACTTTAGATGAGTAAACTGCCGTTCCTAAATCAATTTTATAATTCATGATGTTATATATCAATTAAATAATTTTTATATTTATAAAAAAAAATTACAAATACTTTCCATTTAAAATAGTTAAAATTATTATTTACATTTATTTCTGCATTTGTACTTTTTGTACATTCTGTGCTGCAGTTATTTTAATATCACTGAGATGTTGTTATACTTTTTATTAATATCTTTCGTTTTTTTTATTTTGATGTTTTCAGATTTTATTTTTAGTTAAAATTTTTGAAACTGTTATTTTTGTCATTTTTATCAGCTTTTGATTTTTTTTTTAAAAGTCTACATAGTTTTCATTATTTATTTCAGTTTTAGTCATTTTAGTACATCAAGATAAAATAAATGAACTTGAGAAATGTTGTAAATGAAAATATATATATATTTTTTTCAATTTTATTTGTTCAATTTTATTTCAGGTAAAGTATATTTTATTTTAAGTAACAAAATTTGTTTTATGGTTTTAGATTTAGTTAACTATAATAACCCTGCTGTGCAGCATTAAACAGTCTTCTGTACCTTCTTTGCATACATTGTACATCTTTATGTATTTTTGTTTAACTGCAATACTGCAAGTGTTTCTGTCGATAAATTAGGAATGAAAAACATACACACTGTAGCTCTTATAGCGTGTCTTATTTGTAACTCTTGTCTGAGTACACCTGATGTGTTAACTGCTCTGGCGCTGATTGAATAAGTTTTAACATTTTTATCCATTTGTTTTGATCAATTCCGTCAACCCAAGGATGTTTTTTTTTTTTCCCTCCCCTCTGAGTTTTTTCCAATTACATGGTGACCATAACAGCACTTCTAGTCAGACATTTGTGAGCTTTGGGACCAGACATGGCAGTCAGATGTTTATTTTAGCTGTAAAAGCAGACTGTTATGCCTGCAGTTCCTCCTCTTTCCACTCACCTCAAACACCACCCTGCCTTCCGGCCCCTCGCAGGTGACTGCTGGTCACCCACAGTCTTCGTCTGTGTTTGCGTGTTCAGAGCCCTGCGTGTTTACGTGTGAACGCATCTGAATACGTGTTGCTGTGGTCAGTTGAAAACAGCATGTGGTGGTTGGCCTGGAGCCTAGTTGACCACACCACCTGCAGGTCAGGAAGTGCAGTCACAGGTCTTCAGACAGACACACACGACCATCGTGGCACCTGATGCTATTACAGCCGTAGCCTGACGCAGGGTCAGTGGCGGATATGAGAGCAGATGAAAGTAAAGGGCAGAAAGCTTTCTAATGCCATTTCTCTCAGCGAGAGACTTAGAGGAGGATGAGCAGACGTTAAGTGCTTCGTCTGCGAGTGTCTGGTCATGTCAATCCATCCAGTAGCAGACTGGATTGAATCAGACGTTGTGCTTGCTGAACAGGATTATTGTAGTTACTGAAAATTTCAATTGTTTTTATTATTTTTGTTTTAATTTTAGTTTGCTTTTAATTAGAGTTGGTGTATAAAATTATTTTTTTTAGAATTTATTTTAAATCGATTTAGTTTCAGTATAGTTTTATCCATATTTAGTTATATAATAAATAATGTATATTGGATTTTAAATATGAATTATTATACAAATATGTAATTGTTTAATAAATAACATGCTGATTTTATAATCAGTTATTTTCATTATTGCTTAATAACAATGATAACAATAATAATAATTGTTAACTAATCTAATTTTACCTGATCAATATCATCCACAAAGACCTTTAAGGAAAGGCTGGCAGGGATTCACTCTCTTACACCCTCCCCTGCCCCTTTTTCCTTCTGGTTAGCTACTTATTTTTGCTGTTTCAGAGAAAAGGTGTGCACCAAGGGTCACTTCTTGGTTCGATACGATTGGCCTGATACTTCATTAATACACTTTAGAGTATAGTGATAGACCCTGCAGTCTTTTTGTTTTCTGAGATGTTCCAGACCTGCTCTGTTTTTTTTTGGGGGGGGGTTATTGATCCACAATAACAGCAGGCCTGTGTGTACTCATCATGTCTAAAAATTGCACTTTTATGAGTAAATTTATGGCTTTATTTTGTTGAGTGTGTATTGAGATCCCGTTCGTTTAGCTCTCCTATGGGTAAACATGCAGTAACATTCATTGTGTGTTTATTTTGGTGTGTTTACAGGCAGCTTGGGAGAAGCAGGTAGCAGAGGAAGGCACTCCACTCACTAAATATTACAGCCAGTGGAAGAAACTTCGTGAAAAGGAGATTCAGCTGGAGATCTCTGGAAAAGAAAGGGTAAAAATGCCAAAACCACAGCCATGATCACCAATAGACCCAAATAATCCCAACTAGAGCCTGATATTTAGTTTTTGCCAATATTATCGGCCGATATGAGCCTGTCGCTGATATATCGGTATCGGCGAATATGTCGCCGATATGAACATTTATTTAACAGAACATATAATGCAGATAAAATGCTTGAAATGGTGTAGTTACTTAGTTTGTCCAGCTCCATTGTTTGCTACTGGCGACCTGGATGAAACGCTTTAAAGCTTAAGTCTATAGAAAACCATTGAAACTTTGAACGGCCATATCTCCGTAACGGCGTGGCGAATCCGCACCAAATTCGGGGGATCCCTTCAGCTCGAGGAACCCTCTCGAACGCGAATCGAGTGTACGTCTCGAAGCCCTCTTTCAAATGAGACCACCCCCGCGTGGATAGCCGACCGGGGGTTCGGGAGTTAAGGGTGGTTAAATTCGCGGTCCGGCGCCGACCGATCAAGTGATCCCGGGGGGCTACCAACGCTCGGAGGGTGGCGTTCGAGAGGGCTCCTCGAGCTGAAGGGATCCCCGAATTTGGTGGAGATCCGCGTCGCGTTC